TGGTTTTTTTGTGGTTACACAAAAAACATCCAAATCTGAATCATTGAATTTGCAGTTTTAAGAGGGTATGTTAAATATCACTTACTAGAAAAGTTTGCTGTTATGTAGAATTTGTTGGATTAATTTTCATACAGAAATGAAGAAAACAAGAGCATGCACTGCAAATGCAGGAGTAATTATATATATATATAATATGCCCACTATATCCTCTTAGACTCATTGTATAGCAAAGACAAATTGAGAAAAAATTTGATTCATTCTTGTACATGACTGAAATAGAAAACTAATCCTTATATTTACAGTACATTTCAGTTAATGTTTTAAAACTATCCTATTCATTAGTCAGATCAAGGGACACAAACTTCATTTTCAAAACTTGTGAATAATAACATGTGATCGAATCACCAAAAGCAACAGCCTGAAATTCTCTAAGCCTGGTTTAATCCCGCCGACATTAAGTCTGTTGATGTCGTCATATAATTTAATCTTGTTTGCAGAAAAATTGCAAAGTTCTACCCACTTGTGCTTTTGTGAACGTCATAGAAACTTGTCACGTTTTGTGGTTAGGTTATCAGATGATAACTCCAGTTTGCAGGGTCATTGGTTATGGAGTAAATGTCAGTGTAGACTAAATATATTTGTGATTTAGTTAACAAGTCAAAGAAATAATATGGCATTTAATTTAATTGTCTTAAAATATTTTTTATAAGGATTGACTCCTTTTACCTTTATTTTGTTTCAATATCAACTATAACGAAAACATTAATGGTATAACATTTGCCTCCCTTTGCCCATATCCTAAAAGCACATTATGTTTACTCATTATTTTTGTATTTTTTCCTCTACTTTAAACTTAGCCTTATAGTCTTTGTATGTTGTGCCTTTTAATCAGTTTTATCAAAACTAATTGATATCTAAAAAAAAATATGCAGCTCATCTTACAAAACCAAAATGTGGACAGACAGATGACAGACATTGTACCATGTCATAGCTCACTTATTATTAGGGAAGGGGAGCTAAAACATACCCATGATACAGGTACACTTACTGGAAAAATGCTTTCTTATTATAACACTTGCTGTTATGTGTCAAGCTGCAACTTGATTTTTTTTATTTTCTTGAACATTTATTTTTAGATTATACATCAAGTGATGAATTGTCTGAATTTCATTCTATTCAAAATAGGGCTAGATTATATGAAAATGTTACATGAGGGAACTAAAGGACCTTTTAGGGCAAACAAAATTAATCCATATTATGAAGACTTTTCAAAGCTGGTATGACCAAATTCAGATTCACATGCAACTTAATTTATTTGTATCAAAATTTTAAATGATAAAATGTGATGATATTCAGAAATAAGAGTACCGCGGAGCGGAACAATATACGCCCGTCGAATATCATATAGTGTTATATACTTTCTTACATTGAAATAAGATCTGCATCATTCTAATTCTTATCTGACATGCTATAAAAAATGCAGGAGAAAATTTCCGGACAAAAAAATCAAATACTGAAATGAACAAAGCGCAATCACTTTTGTAAATATCGTTGAATCAAATTTCTTTTAAGGGAGACACAATTTCATATCATGATTTTAATGTGAACCAAGTTTCAAAGAGATCCATTGAAAAATGGTGGAGGAAATTGCCGGACAAAAATCAAATACTGAAATAAACAAAAGGCAATAACTTTTGCAAAAATTGTTGAATCAAAATTCATTTAAGGGAGACACAACTTCATATCATGTTTATAATGTATACCAAGTTTCAAAGAGATTGGTTGAAAAATGTAGGAGGAGATTGCTGGACAAAAATCAAATACTGAAATAAGATAACTTTCGGAAAAATTGTTGAATCAAAATTCTTTTCAAGAAAACACAACAACATATCATGATTATAATGTACATGTATACTAAATTTCAAAGAAATCCGTCAAAAAAATGTAGGAGGAGATTGCCGGACAAACAAAAGTTTACGCCGGACGGACAGACGGCCGGCCGGACAACCCCATACCATAATACTCCCGTCAAATTTGATGGACGTATAAAAACACAAGTTGTAAATCATCTTTTCAATATTTTATTATTTCAGTAATGATAACATCATAACATATCACAGAAAAACAACATTTAGAATAAAATTTATATTCAAGTTTATGCTGAGGAAATAGTCATAAAAAAAATACAATTTTACTCTAACTAAAACTCAACTAAGCCGTGCATTGTTTCAAATCGCATTAATACTGTAACTAAAATGCTGTGTCCAATAAAATTCCTGAGGAATATTGGATATTTGGCCACACAACCCTGTCACATTCTAACAGGGATTACAAACAATAGCTAATAACCATATATAAACATCACAAATCTCACACAAATATAACTATACGTAAATAATCAGACATGGAATCAAGGAAAAACTAATGCACTTTCTTCTCATGTCTTTCCATTATATCAAAACTTGATTGTTTTGTAATACTATGCAATATGTTGAAATTGACATATTTATTCAGATCAAACTATCATATAATATATCTATATTTCAACTTTTCTGTAATTAAATTTACATATATTTGGTAGTTTAAAAAAATAAAAATTCTCATGAATTCTCAGAATACAAAATCAGAATCTTCTATCTATTACCTCAAATTTAGTTTTTCTTTTTAATCGTTTAAGGCACTTGTTGGAAATTATCATTTACAAATTGAAAAGAGAAAGAGATTGATAACACTGATTTAATCTGAATAAAAAAATAATAAAAAAATCATGGAAATTTCAATTACTTACTAGGATTTTGATCAAGTAAAACATTTTAAAATGTACAGCACATATTTTGCACTGTAATGAGAGGTAATGTAACAGATTGTGAAACCTTGTAGAATAACACACTGCGATTCATGTTTACAGTTGATTCAAAATAAGGGACCATATGTGTTTTAGTGTGAATAAAAAGAAAGATACACTGTATCATATTTAGGTCAAAATGATAACATTTGTAACAGCAAAAAGAGAAATACAGACCGTCGGAACTGCACACAGACCATGACCAATTAAGCTACTTGGTCACTGGTGATCAACCCAGTCTAGTTCTGCAAAATTCCTCCTTCCTTCAACAAAGTCTTCGCCCTTGAAGACACACAAGACCCTAATACCACCATGGGTATATTTTGGGGGTGCCAAATGTAACGGTAGAAAAAGGAATGCATGGCTAGAGTGGGATTCACAATAGGGACCCTCCGACCTCTAAACAAATGCTCTAACCAATTGAGCTATCTGGTCGCCGGTGATTGACCCATACAAGTCCTGCTACACATTATATGACCCATACAAGTCCTGCTACACATTATATAACTGATGTGTTTAATACAGGACTGATTTTATATATAAAGGCGATCAATTTGTTTACATGTAAATGTTTATTATGTTTTCAGCATTTAAAATGAAAATATCACAGATTCAAATTTAATTTCATTGTGTCATTATGCTGCTGAAGTATTACAACCTGGAGCTTTTGAGTGATTATTATATAAACTAACTACTGGTAAATCACAGTTGCTTGGTTAATAGATAATTCATTAAATACTGCTACAGTAAAAAAAAAAAAAACTTTTTGACAAACAAAAACATTTAGGAATGCACAATCACAGATAATTATACATAAACATTTCCTCTAGGGAAGTTTTATTCTGTTGTTTCTCTGTACCTGAATATGTACTTATATATACTGTAGTTACAGGTATAATGTATTCTTATATAAACTGTAGTTACAGGTACAATGTATTCTTAAATATACTGTAGTTACAGGTACAATGTGTACTTTATATACTGTAGTTACAGGTATAATGTATTCTTAAATATACTGTAGTTACAGGTACAATGTATACTTATATATAAACTGTAGTTACAGGTACAATGTGTACTTTATATACTGTAGTTACAGGTACAATGTATACTTATATATACTGTAGTTACAGGTACAAGTACAATGTATACTTATATATACTGTAGTTACAGGTACAATGTATACTTATATATACTGTAGTTACAAGTACAATGTATACTTATATATACTGTAGTTACAGGTACAATGTATACTTATATATACTGTAGTTACAGGTACAATGTATACTTATATATATACTGTAGTTACAGGTACAATGTATACTTATATATACTGTAGTTACAAGTACAATGTATTTTTATATATACTGTAGTTACAGGTACAATGTATACTTATATATACTGTAGTTACAGGTACAATGTATACTTATATATAAACTGTAGTTACAGGTACAATGTATACTTATATATACTGTAGTTACAAGTACAATGTATTTTTATATATACTGTAGTTACAGGTACAATGTATACTTATATATACTGTAGTTACAGGTACAATGTATACTTATATATATACTGTAGTTACAGGTACAATGTATACTTATATATACTGTAGTTACAAGTACAATGTATTTTTATATATACTGTAGTTACAGGTACAATGTATACTTATATATACTGTAGTTACAGGTACAATGTATACTTATATATATACTGTAGTTACAGGTACAATGTATACTTATATATACTGTAGTTACAAGTACAATGTATTTTTATATATACTGTAGTTACAGGTACAATGTATTTTTATATATACTGTAGTTACAGGTACAATGTATACTTATATATATACTGTAGTTACAGGTACAATGTATACTTATATATACTGTAGTTACAAGTACAATGTATTTTTATATATACTGTAGTTACAGGTACAATGTATACTTATATATACTGTAGTTACAGGTACAATGTATACTTATATATATACTGTAGTTACAGGTACAATGTATACTTATATATACTGTAGTTACAAGTACAATGTATTTTTATATATACTGTAGTTACAGGTACAATGTATACTTATATATACTGTAGTTACAGGTACAATGTATACTTATATATATACTGTAGTTACAGGTACAATGTATACTTATATATACTGTATTTACAAGTACAATGTATACTTATATATACTGTAGCAACAGGTACAATGTATACAGTGCAAATTGTTTAAGCATTTTCAGGGGGGAAAACATTCAGAAAGAATGCTTACCTTTCAAAGGCCTGCTCTGATGAATATGTGCACCAATATATACACAAATGACTTAAGACAGGTGTAATCTAAGTACACGTACATATACTTATAATCAGACCTGAACTGACTATACTCAGTATGAACTGCTACAATGCAGAACTGATTTTTGTTAAAAAAATATATTTCACATTTACTTTAAATAGGATATGAACTTGGTAACTTATAATTTTCACTCCAATCATACAATAATATTAAACATTTTATATATGAAAACCTGACTTATACTTACCTCATGCTGACGGACCTTATAATGAGTAGGAGTTAATGACATAGTGGACAAAAAGGTATGTTTGTGTTTTTGCCCTGTTACAGTTTTTATATGTAACATTTAGCATGAAACAGAGCTCAGTCTAAATAATCCAACATAACAAAAGCATAGCAAACATCTAAAGCTCTTGATCACACCACCTAAATAAAGTTCATTTACTTCCTAAAAAACTGTGAAACATCGTTGAATACTTTATTCTAGATGTTCTAAGTTGACAAAAAAGTGCTTTATCAATAATTCTGTCTTCTTAGCCAAACTCTACTGTCATAGGTACATGTACATGTTGCACCAAGCCTTTTAAGACTTACAACAGAACGAACAATTAAATATCACACAGAAATAAAGACTGTTAAAGACTGACAGCTTCAGTATAAAAGATCTGTGGCCTTCAGCACATTATATATATTAAGTAATGAGCTACAGTTCCCACAGTCTTATCCATGTCATCAACTTAACATGTAAATCAAATTTTCGAATTCTGTTTTTTTTAAACTGTGTAGTTATATTTTTGTGTATTATCTGACAGTGATAATATTGTATCCAAGGACATATATAAATTGTTAACAGTTTAAATAATCAGGAAAACAAATGTTTTATATGCTAATGAAACTTGTGATTCAGCAAAGCCCAGCACAATTGTTTCACAAACTAAATACGATGTATTCAATTAATTTACCATTAAGAAATGGAATACATACATGTATATATATATATATATTATACATAATTCTTATGAAGGGTAACTTTCTATGAATATTTAATTACACAACAAGCTTAGAATCTGGGAATGTGATATCACAATCAAGTGTTTATAGTTCCATATAAGAAAAAGTACTTAATCTTTATGAAATAATAACAAGTGTAGGATAATCCTGTTAAAGGGAGATTATCGTACATGTAAGATAACCCTGTCAAAGGGAGATAACCGTACATGTAAGATAACCATGTTAAAGGGAGATAACCATACAAGTAAGATAACCATGTTAAAGGGAGATAACCGTACATGTAAGATAACCATGTCAAAGGGAGATAACCGTACATGTAAGATAACCCTGTCAAAGGGAGATAACCGTACATGTAAGATAACCCTGTCAAAGGGAGATAACTGTACATTTAAGATAACCCTGTCAAAGGGAGATAACCGTACAAGTAAGATAACCATGTTAAAGGGAGATAACCATACAAGTAAGATAACCATGTTAAAGGGAGATAACCGTACGTGAAAGATTACCCTGCCAAAGGGGGATAACCGTACATGTCAAATAACCCCGTTAAAGGGGGATAACTGTACATGTAAGATAGCCCTGCCAAAGGGGGGTAACCGTACATGTAAGTTAACCCTGTTAAAGGGAGATAGCTGTACATGTAAGATAACCCTGCCAAAGGAGATAACCGTACATGTAAAATAACCATGTTAAAGGGAGATAACCATACATGTAAGATAACCCTGCCAAAGCGGGATAACTGTATATGTAAGATAACCCTGTCGAAGGGGGATAACTGTACATGTAAGATAACCCTGCCAAAGGGGGATAACCGTACATGTAAGATAACCCTGCCAAAGGAGATAACCGTACATGTAAGATAGCCCTGCCAAAGGAGATAACCGTACATGTAAGATAACCATGTTAAAGGGAGATAACCGTACATGTAAGATAACCATGTTAAAGGGAGATTATCGTACATGTAAGATAACCATGTTAAAGGGAGCTAACTGTACATGTAAGATAACCATGTTAAAGGGAGATTATATATACCCGTACATGTAAGATAACCCTGACAAAGGGAGATAACCGTACATGTCAGATAACCATGTTAAAGGGAGATAACCATACATGAAAGATAACCCTGTTAAAGGGAGCTAACTGTACATGTAAGATAACCATGTTAAAGGGAGATTATATATACCCGTACATGTAAGATAACCCTGACAAAGGGAGATAACCGTACATGTCAAATAACCCTGTTAAAGGGGGATAACCGTATATGTAAGATAACCCTGTTGTAGGGGAATAACCGTACATTCAAGATAACCCTATATGTAAGACAGTTCTCATGATATATAAATTCAGTGCCAGTCAAATGTTTAAAAGGATTAAGAAATGCTCCAAACTTATTAGTAGGCCAAAAAAAAGAGCAACATGCTTTGTGTTTCTGTAATATACATATACTCAACAGATAGGTAGGGACCACTTCACAATACAACAAACTATTATAATACCTGACCCTGAGGAATTTAATAGTATTTCTGTACGTATCAACTGACTTGTTTCCTGAACATTGTGTTGGATCATGAGAAATGTTACAATGCACTTTTTGCACTTTTGGTTTGATAGGTTAACCTTAAGATAATGCTTTTATAAGTTCATTTCTATCTTCAAATCACAATGGCTGGAATAATTGTCCCTGAACAATTCAATGTGTTTAATACATTGCAGTTAATGTCTATATATATAATCTGAAAATTTTATATCTAATTTTCTATTTTAGTATGATTCCTACCATAAGCTTCATTTGCAAGTTTTCAAGCTCAAAGAATAAAAATGTTCCTCAAGAAAATCCTGAGAAATCTAAGAGGATTCTTTTGTACATATATTTTCCACATAAAATTACCCTGTATTTTTAAGAACCTGCCTTTGGATTTCAATGTAGAAAAAAAAGTTTAAAAACCTTAAAATACTGACCAATACTAACCCTGGTTTAGTCCTGCCTTTATCACATTGTAATTTATTAGCCAGCTCAACAGCAGTAGCTGTAGATCTGTTTACATGATTTGAATGCCATACAGAATATATTATAATAAATGATAACTTAGTTGTTGAAAATATTTAGATTGAAACCAAAATAAATGTTAATAGATATACATATAACTTTAAAATAGAAGAAGAAAAGACAACAATACTATAAGAGATGATCAATGGCTAAATGTATATACATTTTCAGAATGAGCAATTTTTCGGATACAAAACGTTTGTTCTATATATTGATTGATATTGTAAAAGTATATGCTACTTTAACAGGGTTTGCATGTTTTCATTCTTCAAATTTTTCCCGTGTGGAAATTTTCCCATCGCTATTGTTGCTGCAATATATATACATAAAAGTTTAAATTTGTCAGAATGGTAGCATATGAATGTTCTGGCACTAAGTCATTTAAACTGAAATAAGTTAAAATTTTCATACTCTTTCATTAATCCTGATGTTCAACACTAAAAGAATAAAGATGTATAGGTAAGATTAGTTCCCACGATCAGGTCTATCTTTGTCTCTGTTCCTTCTGTGAGCAGATGTCAGTACTTTTGAGGATTGTCGTGTCAGGCCACTGTCCGAGGATCCTGTGAAATTGGTGCCAAGTAAAAGAGTTGTGCTACTCTGACTCTGCCCGAGCATGGAAGACGTAGACAGAGCTGTGTCCCCTTGGCTGGAGGAGGCTGAGCTGGCCCCAGCGATACCAGGAAACAAGATGGCTGGTTTAGTGGTAAGGGCTGACTCTGGACCAATCATTTGGAGACCAGTGGCACCGAGAGTCCACGTATGTCCACTAACAGTAGACATTGATTGCATGGATGTTGATTTTGTCGTTTCAGCATTATTGTTTGACGATGTGAAGATTTCATTTTTTATATGCTGAGTTGGTAAATTAGAACTAGTTGTCAGTGATAATGTTGGAAGCGTAGTCGTCAAGACAACAGTCTTAATGGGAGCACTGACTGGGGCCTTTACATTTTCACTTGACGTTGTGGTTTTGGCCGTAGATGACAAAGTTGGCCTAGAGGAAGTACTTGTTCGAAGAGAGAGTGGTTTATTTTTAGTATCGACCGACTTTGTCGCAGGTTTAACACTAGCAGATTTACTTGCTACGTCGCCAGCTTTTGTAGCTGTCCGGCTATTTGTATCACCAGTGGTAACTTTTGTAGTCGCATCTTTTGCAGTTGTTTCTTTTGTAGTCGTATCTTTTGTTGACGTGTCTTTGACAGATGTGTCTTTGGTAGTAGGAGCAGATTCGTTTTTCGCAGTAACCGGTGTTTCTTCCGTCACTGGAGTGTCGGTTTCACTGGTGCTATTTTTGTTTGTATTTCCACCTGCATGAGTCATTTTTAATGCCACTAAATCTTCGGTTATTGGCACAGGTTTGGGTATGATTGTCTGTGGGGTACATTCCTTCACCGTAGTGTCAGTGCTTTTACTTCCTGCGGGTGCAGACGATGCTGCCACTACCACGGGTGTACTGTTGGTCATCATACGATGACTCCGTACAGGCGATGTGTTACGCTGAACAGCAGTGTTTGATACTGATGTCCGTGTTTTCTCATTTGAAGAGTCCTTTGAGGGTGACACACTGCGCGTTGAGCGTGATGCGACGTAGTATGGACGAGTCCCACAGTACAACACACAGAAACCGCGTTGGGAGTTCAGAGGAAGTAGTGCTTGGTGTCGCTTGGCCTTCTCAAAGCATTCGACACTGATATCTGTGAATAGAGGCAGTCAGATGTCAATAAGAATTGGTAAATAATAAATCCGAATATTATTGATTTGGGATTTATAAATATAAATGAGGTCAGTTTTAGTGCCTTTCCTAGCGTTCATTCTCGGGACTACAGATACATGCTCGATTTCTCCACTGAATGATTTCATTAGCCTAAGTCCCTCTAGTCAAGTCTGTAATAAGTAAGCAAAATTAATAGCTCAAACTTGGACAATTACTCCCCTTCCATGAAAACATTCAGACTTTAAGTTCTAGAGTCTGCCTGAGTACAAACATTCATAGACACCAGTATATATAAAAGCAAAATTACAGTAGAAAGTTTCGGAACAATCAAAGCTTTCCTGAATTCATGAATTAGTGTAAGAAAACCATTTGTGCTGATGCCAACGACACAGTCACCCAAGGATATCATCTTTAACATTTTGGTTAATGATTTTAATTACCTATATTGCAGAATATCTAATTTTGAATATACATCTAATGTTAAACATCAATTACAGATTAAAATATCACAGGACCGTTTTTTTTTTTACAGAATGGAAGACACACATACTGACTGCAATGTGAATTAATCTCCAATTCAATATCATGTAAATGTTGGGGGCAAAATAAAGGTAACAACTTACGTAGTGTTTCCTCCACAACTAACGGGATCACTTCCTTCAGGGCGGAACAGTTACAGTGCAGGGCTGGGTTTACGTTCACTTCAATTAGCCAAACCTACAACAGGCAATCACATTATACATTGGACATACTTTGAAAATGAGAAAATGAGGTTTTAAAAAATCTTATAACAGCATTTTGCTTACCACAAGATAGAGGCCAAGAGGGTAATAAAGCAACCATGGCAAATTATTCTTATTACATAAAATCCCTCCTATGGAGAAGAAAGATTTTAAAGATTAAAACCTTGAATTTTCTTATTTGGCCCTGCAACTCTCAGCACCCAGAGGGAGGGGGGGCAAACTCACTGCTTATACTAGATTGAATCCCATTGGCCTAAGGATGCTCTATACCAAATTGGGATGAATTCCTTTAATTATTATGGTAGAAGAAGGATTTCAAAGATTTTTACCTCTATTTCCCCTATTGGGCCCTGCAACTCTTCCCCAAGGATGTCAAATCCCACAAATCATATAAAATTGAGTCAATGGCCTTGGCCCAAGGATGCTCGTAACAAAATTGGGATGAAATCCCTTCATCCCTGTGTTAGAAGAAGGATTTTATTTGGCCCCACCCCTCTGCCCCAAGGGGACCACACCCACCGTTTATACAAAATTGAGTCCCCTTGGTCAAAGGATGCTTCAGACCAAATTAGGATAAAATCCCTTAATTGCTTCAGTAGAAGGATTTTAAAGTTTTTACCTCAATTTCCCATGTTGGGCCCCCTCCCCTTTGCCCCCAGGGTGTCCACACCCACTTTTTATACAACATTGAGTCCCCTTGGCTTATAAAGATGCTCCAGACCAAATTGGGATGAAATCCCTCGATCCCTATGGTAGAAGAAGGATTTTAAATGCTACCTCTATTTCCCCTATTCGGCCCCACCTCTCTGCCCCAAAGGGGGGCCCCACCAACGGTTTATACAAAATTGAGTCCCCTAATTAGCCCAAGGATGCTCCAGACCAAATTAAGATAAAATCCCTCAATTGCTACAGTAGAAGAAGGATTTTAAAGGTTTTACCTCCATTTCCCATATTGGGCCCCGCTCCTCTGGCCCAGGGGGTCCACACCCACCGTTTATACAACATTGAGTCCCCTTAGCCTAAAGATGCTCCAGACCAAATTAGGCAAAATCTACTGGGCCGTTCAGGACAAGTAGCGTTTCAAAGGAAAAGTTGACGGGCGGACGACGGACGGACGCTGCGCCATGGCATAAGCTCACTTGCACTTCGGGCAGGTGAGCTAAAAAAAACTGTTCAAACACCATTTGGAATGAGATCAGTTTGGTATGAATTTAGGGGCAGAATAGGTAAACATGTTACCCATACATCTGATCACTGCCTGCAGAATCCGAGTGTTATTTCACATTAGGTCTCACTATTATTCATACAGCTGATTTTACTGACTAGGCACATTGTGGTAATTAATGAAAAATGACATCAGTTTTCAATTCCTGTTTGTGTTTATAACCAACTTAGCATACTTATATCTATATAGTTCAAACACAATTTTCCTTGCCAACATGTATGAAGTTATACGACTGTTAAAATCACAAGTAGGCAAGCACACTAACATACCCTGTCTCCTGCATACATACATGTAAGCACGCATACACTACACACATGGAGGCACATCCTTAAATGACCTTAATTAGCTGTTAATAGGACGTTAAACAAAATTAAACTAAACTAAACTAAACTGTTAAAGTTTGAGGTTATTTTTAAAATCAGATATAAACAGAGGATTTAAAAAAAACCAATTAAGTATGATACCTTATGTGGAAATAGAGACACAGGTTAAAGATTAAGGCTTGAGTTTTAACGGTAGCTAATATACCTTCATGTCCTGGTCAACCATGAAGTCGAGTCCGAACAGGTCGAAGTAACCGAGCCGGGTAGTCAGCTTGTGTTTCACACTGTTGAAGCAGTGGATCATTATCTTCTGCATCTGTTTCTACAAGTAAATATGTTACAAATTCTGTCAGGGGTCAATTGCTCTCCTCTCAAGGAGACATGCTACCTTATACAAAATACTTCACTTTTGTAACAGTTATCTCCCTTTAGATTTTAAATGGCATTTGATTTCAATCATTCAGAATTGTTGAACTGAAAAAAATAATTTCCTTTGAACATTTTAAGTTAGGAATCAGTTAGCTAACACTGTTTACATACATTCTAATTCTACCTATTTTGGAGGGAGACTCACAATTTTGAACTCTAAATTTGACCATTTTCAACTATTGACATTGCTAAACTTTTCCCATTTTCTGTGTTACAAGTTACACTCCAAAATGGTACACCAGGAATCACAGCTATTACTACCAATACAGCTTTTAGAGAGAAAGACAAAAGCACTGGTAGCGAGCATGCAGCAAAACGTATCTTTACAAAGTGTTCATCTGAAAAACTGGAGGTTTTCCGTTTGGTTACAGCAGTAAAGATTGAGCTTCCTTGTTTTACTTACTGTGAGGGTATTGTAGACCCAATCCTGTTCTAAATTTGCCTGTGGTTTTATTTTCTCATTGACGTAGTCGTTGAATTTGTCCATCGACCATGCAGAATCCTCCTTGTTTTCTTTGTAGTTAGGGTCCTTCTTCTGGACAAACTGTCAGGTACAAAAACAAAAAATATGACCCCAACTTTTTCCTAATCAAAAGTCTGGCCTTAGGTTTTCAACAAGTTACATGTAGCTTTTTCCTAAAACTGTTTTGTGTTATATTCCAGTTTCCTTCAAATTTGAAACATAAAAGGGTTTTTTATGTCAGTTACAAAATAGTCTGCACGTCTCTGTTTTTCTAATTAAGCTGGAGCCAGATATGTATAATACATGATTTTAAGGCAAATTACATGACTGACCTAATAGCTAGACAGAATTTTAGAATATTTTATTAATACATCTATGTATATAATCCCCTAGAACATATAAAACACATTTCAGGCGGAGGGGGAATAAGTGGAGATTTTGTTGTAAAGTTATATGATTTTTTGTTTTTTTTTGTAATTACTTCAAATTTGCCAAAGCAATCAATTTAAACTTCATAAAATATTCCTGTCATGCAGATGATTTTTGATGAGTTACCTGATTGGTGAGATGTGTCATGAGACTTGTGTCGTTGGTGTCGTACTTGGTGCAGCACAGACGGACGTATCCCTTGTGATAGAGGACAAGGAAGGGGACTGTACTCCCAATCAACATGTAGGCGCGGATGTCAAACTTCCGGCCATCCAGCAACATTGGGTTGTTGATATACCTGGTAGAAAATAACATCAGTAACTTTATCACGAACTATTTTATATACATACATGTACTACTAAAACCTAATGATCACGCATTTCAATTTTGTTATCATAAGCTTATCTGTATTATTAGCTCACCTGGTCCAAAGGATCAAGGTGAGCTTATTCAATACCGTTGCGTCCGTCGTCCGTCCGTCGATCCGTACGTCCGTCCGTCAACAATTTCTTTAAACGACTTCTTCTTAACCACTGATTGGAATTCAACTAAATTTGACTGGAAGCATCCCTAGGTGGTGGGGATTCAAAACTGTACAAATGATGGGGCTGACCTCCCAGGGGAATGAGGGGCGGGGCAAAAAGGGGACAATTTGGCTATACTGCTTTCAGCGACTTCTTCTCTGGTACTGAGAGATTGATATCAACTGTATTTGACTGGAAGCATCCCTAGGTGGTGGAGATTAGAAATTGTACAAATGGTTGGGCTGACCCCCATGGGGGCTGAGGGGTGGGGCCAAAAGGGGGCAATTTGGCTATATTGCTACAAACGACTTCTGTAGAACTATGCCATGGATATCAACCATATTTGTCTGGAAGCATCCCTAGGTGTTGGGGATTCAAAATGGTACAAATGGTTGGGCTGACCCCCCAGAGGGCTGAGAGGCAGGGCAAAAAGGGGTCAATTTTGCAATATTGCTTAAAGGGACTTCTTCTCTGGAACTAAGAGGTGGATATCAACCATATTTGACTGGAAGCATCCCTAGGTGGTGGGGAATCAAAATTGTACAAATGGTGGGGCTGAGCCCCCAGGGGGCTGAGGGCGGGGCCAAAAAGGGGGCAATTTTGATATATTGCTATAAACGACTTCTTCTGTAGAACTTTGCCATGGATATTGATCATATTTGGTCGGAAGCATTCATGGGAGGCAGGGATTAAACATTTTACAAATGGTGGGGCTGACCCTGTGGGCTAAGAGGTGGGGCCAAAAAAAGTGTATTACTTGGAAATGGTTGAGATCCCCACCATATTACCATGGTATACAATTGCTGAGTATAAAGAGAAGAATGCACATTTGCTTCCAGTATGGCTATAGGGTCTGGCCCCACCCTTGGAGACATAGTCCCTGGGCCATAACTTTAAAACTGTTGAGATCCCCACCCCAAAACTATATATACAAATGCTGGGCATAAAAAGACGAATGCAGTCATGATATCAGAATAGACCCTGGGGTCTGACCGAACCCCTAGGGACCTAGTTTGTTAGTCACAGCTTGGAAACAGTTGAGAGCCCCACCCTGTAACGGTATATACAATTGCTGAGTATAAAGAGATGATTGCACATATGCTTCCAGGATGGTTCGAAATGGTTTAGATCCCAACCCCAAAACTATATATACAATTGTTGGGCATAAAAAGACGTGTTTGATTTAATCATGGGCGGATTGGTCGAGTGGTTAACACCCCGGCCTTCCACGCAGGCGGCCGGGTTCGATCCCCGAAGTCGTCGTTTGCATGTATATTCAGAGAAAGTGTTTTTCTCCTGCCCACACAACTCCAACAACCCAGATGGAGTATAAAATGGTCTGCGGTGGATGTTGCAATATCTGTGTTGTTGCATTCAAGTGAGGTGGCACTATAAATGATACCGTTGGAAGCAGTCGGTCCTACTACAAACAGAACACAATACATCTCCAGCACACACACAGGCATACACACATAGGGAGATATTAGCCAGGTGGCATAGGACAAGTAGTTAGCGCCTGATAAGGCAGCTCCTGTGAATTCCTCAAATTGTATGGATTAATGTATATGCTAATTGTATTGATTGTAAAAAACCATTGTATACATACTGTAAAGTGCTTTGGAGTGGCTTAGGTTTGCTAGATAGGGCACTATATCAAATGCTGTATATTGAGTTATTTTAAGTTTTGCATTTGTACATTACAGGACCATTGACCTCTACAACCTCTGACCTGTTACATCTGTCTGACCTACATGTTTGACTTCACCATTCAGTCAGTTTAACCCTATACGATGTACAACTTGGTTTGTCCTTGACCTCTATACAACCTTATCTGACATGTAACATTTTTTCGGCCTATTAGATGCTAATTTTTTGTATAAACCCTCTTAAACATTTGATACCATTTTGACTATAACATATGCTGACCCCTATTTGACCTCTTACATATACATTTCTGACCCTATTTGACCCTGACCTCTGTATCACCTTTGTCTGACCTCTATGAGTTTATCTGACCCCGCTTGAACCTGACCTTTGCACGACCCTTGTCATGAGTGGCTTGGTGCCCTTTTGGGCCTGTTCTTTCTTGTGCACTCTTTCCTCCAGGAGTTTAATGATCTCGTCGTATGACCTGATGATAAAGATTCCCTTGCCTTGGTTTAACCCTGTCGGCTTGCAAATCCACAGCTCTCCATCTGAAACATTCCAACAGTTTCCTTTGATTCTGGGCTCCAAAAGTGGGGAAAATGCATGGCTGATTTAATTGCAAAACACATATCGCAATCCATTCAATATTCTAAAAAATGCTATACATACATAAAAGACACTAAGAAGTTTAACCTTTGACCTTTCTATTTGCAAATTAGAGCTCAATCAAAACAATTTTGTTTCTTTTTCTTTGACCTTATCTGCTGATCTGAGCTCATTTAAAAATGTCTTTTCTTCAAAATATTTATTAAAAAAAATCATCAGCATTTAAAAGAATTAACTGAAATAGGATTTCTACTACAAATGATATCGATAGAAAAAAACAGAATATTTAAGAAAATTGACAGCAAGATCTCTTGTTGATTGAAGTATGCCTGGATCTGGAAGGTTTCATCATAAGATGAGTAGCTATAACAACCTGGTACACTTGCACCATCACCACTGTGACACAAGTTATGTGAATACCTCATCATGCTTCGTCTGACCGGGTCCTAGCTAGTCATACCTTGATACATTTTCAAAAATTCTTCCTTGTCTTTTGCTTCGTCTAGCCTGTAGGTTTCTGGGACAAAATCTGTGAATCGTAACCGGGGTGGTCTGCCCTTGGTGCTGAGTGTAACTCGCTCATATTCTTGTAGGCTGTTGAGCAGGCCGAGTTTATTGGTGAGCAGGTTTCCGTTGGGGATGTGGTTTACCAGCTGGTCTCCTATAATACAAACACAGATAGATATATACTAGCGGAAAAAAGAAACTGTGCATGCGGAGAATTGTTATAGAACATGTATTACCAACTGTATATACATGAACATTCACACACATGACCGAGTATGACACATACACACTATCCGTGTGTCGTTGACAGTTTTTCCCGTGTAGTTTGGTCTCTATAGGCGTTGACCAGTTTGCACGTTTTTCTCCACCAGCCATCCAATTCGACAATGAAAGTTTATTTTTCAACTGTTGGGTCACTCTGTTGAGACCAGTGAACAGTAAAACAGCATTATAACGTTTTGATTTGTGATAAATGCTATGCCAAGGCTCAATGAAAATGACCCTCTCCAGATTATTGGTATGCTTCAAGCTGGTATGGGCCAAGCCATTGTCTCTACACGTTTTCATGTCCATCGAAACACAATCCGGGATTTGTGGAGATGACGTCAACAGTTTGGCCACGTCTGCGATCGACCTCGTGCGGGACGTCTACGTGTGACGTCACGTCAACAGGACAACCATATTCGGCTTGTCCATTTGAGAAATCGCTTCCAAACGGCAAGTTGCTACCAATAAGCCCGAGAAATGTACGGAACCGATTGCGTGAACGAGTTATCCCTCTGCGACGTCCTGCAATCCGCCCAGTTCCCCTGCCACGTCATCGTGTAGCACGTCTGGACTGGTACAGAAGGCATCTGCGATTTACTTGACGGGATTGGGCAGGCATTTTGTTTACGGACGAGTCGTGAGTCCACCTGGATAGTAGTGACGGTCGTTCCAGAGTGTATCATCGCGTTGGAGAACGTTTTCGTGTCGCGTGTGTGGTACAAAAGCGTTCTTTCGGAAGAGGCAGCATTATGATTTGGGGCGGCATCACATCTACCTGGAGAACGCCTCTGGTGGTTGTTCACGGGAGTTTGAACGCGCTATGTGACCGTGACGAGATCCTTCGGACCCACGTCGTTCCATTCGTGCAAGGGTAGCAACGTCACATTACGCCACAGCAGGACAACGGTGGGCCACACACAGCTCGTGTCGCTATGGACTTTCTGGCCCAAAAGAATGTTGATGTGTTGCCCTGGTCTGCTGTATCCCCGATCTGTCGCCTATTGAACACGTCTGGGATGAAATGAAGCGCAGATTACATGCATTACCTAAACAACCGGTGACGTTGGCTGATTTGGCTGCAGCGTTGGTACAGATCTGGAATGCCATCCCACAAGCATTCTTGAACCGTCTGATAGGCTCCATGCGTCGACATTGCCAGGCTTGCATTCAGGCAAACGGTGGACATACGAGGTATTAACTTTGTGAACTCAGTATTGACCCCTGCTGTGTTTACGTCATTCCTGAACAGAACTTATTGATTTATAACGTGGAAAATGGAATGCAACTGTTAATGAATAATAAATAAATTGTCCCTGAAAACCTTGTTGTTCTACGTCATACACATTTATTTTTATAACACATTTTAGGCATGCACAGTTTATTTTTTCCGCTAGTATAGTTAGTATGTCCTGGTAGTTCTGATTGACTACAATAAACCCTAATCTGATGGACAAGACACCATTTTACAGTAATAATGATTGGCTGATTGAAGGGATAGGCATTACACATCATGTGCTTATATTTGAAAAACAAATATCTCTTTTTACTGCCTTGCTATCACCAATGAGTATGTTATGGTTTTGTAACTGATTTTAATTAAGATTGGCTATTCATTTTAAATCAACTGACTTTTATATCTTTCATTATATATATATTTATTAAATCATATCTTAAAGAAAATTTCTAAAATTCAATTTGATATATCATACATCTGTATGCAGATCTGTACTAGCTGGACTGTTCCAAATCTGGGTTTACTATACTTCCATGTGCATGCTTAATTAAGATAATATACTGGACATCTGAACATTTATTCAGGCCTGGCAGGTAAAGTGTTTGACTTAATCCCATTTTTTTTGTCTTTGCTTTGTTGTTTTTTTATTATTTTCTTTCACATATTTAATCCACCTGTTTATGAAGACTACCTATGAATATTGTATATTTACCAGATATAAAGGTGACCTTGTGCAGTCCAGACATGTATATCCTAAACCAATAGTATATAATAATCCCAGTATAAACTTTCAGTGGTATTATGTCTTACACGCTTGACATTGAACAGTTTAAAGCTCATAATCACCAACCATTACAGTAGGTTTTAATGGAGAGTTTACTTGATCCTTACGAAACAGTACACTAATCCCCCTCGTGGTCTGCTGGAGCTGTGCAGTAATGTCTATACACTCGTGATAATCTAACAAGAAGGCAGTAGGTGTGCTCTGGACAGGACTGGAACCAAGTTTCCCAGTCTGCTGCTTTACCAGCTATCAGTTAAGAGATGACCGTAATCTTAGATAAAATTAAAACCTGTCACATTCATTTAAAATGTGTTAGCTGCCCTGAATTTCTAAGACACCAACCTTCTTTATAGGAGCCATAGTTGATTCTTGTCTTACACTCCGTCCACTTCAGTTTGAAGCGCTCGTCATATTTATCCATTGTTCTCTTCCATCCCATTGCTGTCAATGCCCCTTCAACCCTGAAAAATAAGACATTATATAACAACCAACCGTTACTCAAGTACCATTGTTTCTGTGAAAAGTGTTAAGCTAACTGTATAGGGAGTCAAGTGATTAAGTCATATACCAAACTTGTCTGACAATAGATGTTTTCTGTGTATAAGGGTCTGAAAGAGGACACCTATATTTTTTGTATGTTTTAGCGTCAACAGTTTAAAGTTTGTGTATAAAGGCTGCGAAAGGAAAAAAGCAAAAAAGTATATTTAAAGGTTCCTGTACCACTGCCAAATTTTAATTAACTAAGTATTGAAAACTGTCTTTTCCTGCATTACTATGGCTTTGATAAGCCACTTCTGAAGAGGAAACTATACTTTGATAGACTTATAGAAATGATAAAGATGAAATTAACAAGAAAATGCAGCAAAGCTGCTGGACACCAAATCATTTTTTTATAAAATTGACTTTCTGACAGTCCAGCAACCTGTAAGGATCGAATCGAAGAAACGGATTCTGCATACTTGAATGTATTTAATTAAAATAACAGAGAATGTATATATTGATTGTTAATGACATTAATTTTGCCATTCAGAATATTCCGTTCCTCTCAATGTCCTTACATTTTGCACTATTTTCACTCAATAATTGTCCCACTGCTCACAAATGTACATTTTAAACAGCACGTTTAAATGTTAACGATTTGGTAATAACGTCATCTCCTGAGAGAGAGAAGGGACATAACATGATTTACATAAAATATTATTTATACCTTTTGTCAAAATTGCAGTGATTTTTACACATATTACTTTTCAAAATGCAATCTTTGGATAAAATATCAACTGTCTCCTTTTTAAAAGCGTCACTGGTATATATAGCCCCTCTTTAAATAAAAGTAATTTCTTCTCGAGACTGCTATGAACACTCGAGACTGCTATGAACACTCGAGACTGCTATGAAGACACATTTTGTCACAACACTGTTTTTTTTGGTTGCTATCACATATTCGTTTTATACAATTGAAATAAATAAATTGTATTGAACGGGAAAACAACACCCCTGCTGATGGGGGATCGGGAAAGAATATACCTGCTGTTACCCACCGCATCATAGGAGGCGACTAATGTGGAAACCCACTGCAGAATTGGGGATTTGCTTTGGTGTCCTCTATTTGGGGACACAAAAGCAACCATAATAAATCTGCTGCCCCCATTGCTATATTTGGGATCTTTATCTTTCTTTTTACTCCTTACTACCTTTTATTTCCTATCGCCTTGCTTGGCAACACTTCACTTTGGGCTTAGATGTTGAGCATTTGCCAAGGTGAGGAAGGCAATGGGTTCTGTCCCCAGACCGGGACATACCAAAGTCCTCAAAAATGGTATTTGTTATTCCCTGCTTAACGTTCACTGGGGAATGGCAACTGGTTCACCCGTTGTCAGTATAATGTAACCGGGCGGAATGCTGTGCTGGGTGTCTTCGGCATGGTATTTCATTGAGATAGCACTATAAAGTCGGCATCAGATCAGTGCTATCACAAGGAAGCAAGCACACCAACATACCCTGTCTCTTGCATTCACATGCACAAGCACGCATACACTACACACATGGAGGCACGTCCTTAACTGACCTTAGCTGTTAATAGGACGTTAAAAACTCAAACCTAACCAAATGGGAAAACAATGACATTCTCTATTTCTTACATATTTTTTCACTTCACACGACGCAAATATTGCTACATCAGAAAAGCTTGGGAATGTGTAGCATATTTTTTTATACCAATTTCTAATAACGTCACGCTTGACAACAATGCAGAGCGCCATTTTGAATGGGTTTTCACTGCATTTTTGCTGTTTGCTGCTATATATTATCTGGTAAGATTTCCAGACAAAAATTATATTAATTGAGTAGTTTTGTAAAAACAATAATGTATGCTGCAAAGGTATACAACACAACCCCTTACTCTGCCGTTATTTTTATCTAAACTTGAAACTGAAAATCTATGCAGAGAATAGAATGTACCGTTCAGATTGGACAATACTAAGAGTGACTCTTCACATGTGAAGATATAATATTTCGTATATCTTCACTGCATTTGAGATATGTTTTTATGAAATGGAGAATTCATGATATTTCACCATGCAGTAATATATACTGGGGGGGGGGGGGGGGGGGGGGGGAGTTGAAAAAAATACATATACCTGATAATCAACAAAAGTGTTATGAATGTAAGACTTCCGCGGGGCTAGACTATGATTCAAAACCCTGGACTTCTGAATGTTACATTATTGCTCTAACCAATTGAGCTACCTAAGTCTATGGATGTGTCCTGGCCAAACTTTGCTACAGTTATTAACTTATTGCAAAACAGAAGTAAAGGGGAGGTTACTCAATACTGTTTAATGGAAAAACCAATGCATTGGGACAAAGATCCTTAATAGACATATGTGCAAAGCAGAACTGGACTGGGACGATCACCAGCAACCTGGTAGCTCAATAAGTAGTTAATGCCTCCGAGAGAGTTCCGAGGTACTTTGTTGGAATTCCTGTCTGGCTGTGCTCCTTCTACACATGTAGTCAGAGTTACATATAATATACAGAAAACCAAAGGCTTTACTGTATATCAATGTACTGATAGCTAGTAGCTACAATATAACAGTTGTATGAACTCATATACTTAGTCTATTATATGAGAAATATAATAATCATTCATATGGACATCTGAGCTCAGTTTACCAATATGGCATGTAGATACATGTAATTTTCAGCCACATTTGTATACTTAATCGACTAAACATGAAATTTCCTACGGCAAATAAACATTTGTACTGTAGCTAATAGAATAATATTATTGAATGTGTATTTTTATACCTATTCATGAAATGTTACCACTTCTCTGACAAAAGATTCATCAATATATCAATATAATAAATTAATTAGGAACGATCAGAGAATGACAGGAGTACAGACACTATCACAGACTGCTGGTGTCACAGGTAAGGCATTGATTAACGAGGGAAACACAGGTAGACTAACAGCTGTGTCAGGTTCTAGCCAAACAAGTATGAATTATCGCTGACTTATACTTCATTGATTTAGACTTCTGGGCCTATCATATACCCACAAAACACACAGAGGAGGTCAATATATAGTTAATAGAGTGGGGTACCTGCATTAACGATCTGTCTCTAATCAACAGAGTGTATAAAAAATGAGCATGTTTCTAATTGACAGTGTTTACCTTAGTGACAATTAGTTTCTCGAATTGAAAGTGCCTACATCTAATTGACAGTGTTTACCTTTAATTGAAAGTGTGTACATCTAATTTAAAGTGGTTATATCTAATTGACAGTGTTTACCTCTAATTGACAGTGTTTACATCTAATTGACAGTGTGTAAACCTCTAATTGAAAGTGCTTATATCTAATTGACAGTGTTCACATCTAATTGACAGTGTGTCCATCTAATTGACAGTCTGTACCTCGAACTGACAGTGTTAACATCTACTTGACAGTATTTACATATAATTGACAGTGTTTACATCTAATTGACAGTGTTCACATCTAATTGACAGTGTGTACATCTAATTGACAGTCTGTACCTCAAAGTGACAGTGTTTACATCTAATTGACAGTATTTACATCTAATTGACAGCATTTACATCTAACTGACAGTGTTTACATCATATTGACAGTGTGTACATCTAATTGACAGTCTGTACCACTAACTGACAGTGTTTACATCTAATTGCCAGTATTAACATCTAATGGACAGTGTTTACATCTAACTGACAGTGTTGACATCTAATTGACAGTGTTTACATCTAATTGACAGTCTGTACCTCTAACTGACAGTGTAAACATCTAATTGACAGTATTAACATATAATTGACAGTGTTTACATCTAACTGACAGTGTTTACATATAATTGACAGTGTTTCCATCTAATTGACAAGGTTTACATCTAACTGACAGTGTTTACATCTAATTGACAGTGTTAAGATCTTATTGACAGGGTTTAAATCTAATTGACACTGTCAATTAGATGTAAACATTGTCAATTAGATGTAAACACTGTCAATTGACAGTGTTTACATCTAATTGACAGTGTTTACATCTAATTGACAATGTTTACATTTGATTGACAGTGTTAACATCTAATTGACAGTGTTTACATCTAATTGACAGTGTTAACATCTTATTGACAGGGTTTAAATCTAATTGACAGTGTTTACATCCAATTGACAGTGTTTACATCTAATTGACAATGTTTACATCTAATTGACAATGTTTACATCTAATTGACATTGTTTACATCTAATTGACAGTGTTTACATCTAGTCGACAGTGTTTACATCTAATTGACAGTGTTTACATCTAATTGACAGGGTTTTAATCTAACTGACAGTGTTAACATCTAATTGACAGTGTTTACATCTAATTGACAGTGTTAACATCTAATTGACAGGGTTTACATCTAATTGACAGTGTTTACATCTAGTTGACAGTGTTTACATCTAATTGACAGTGTTTACATCTAATTGACAGGATTTAAATCTTACTGATAGTGTTAACATCTAATTGACAGTGTTAACATCTAATTGACAGTGTTAACATCTAATTGACAGTGTTTACATCTAATTGACAGTGTTTACATCTAATTGACAGTGTTTACATCTAATTGACAGTGTTTATATCTAGTTGACAATGTTTACATCTAACTGACAGTGTTAACATCTAATTGACAGTATTTACATCTAATTGACAGTGTTAACATCTAATTGACAGTGTTTACATCTAATTGACAGTGTTTACATCTAGTTGACAGTGTTTACATCTAATTGACAGTGTTTACATCTAATTGACAGTGTTTACATCTAATTGACAGTGTTTACATCTAATTGACAGTGTTTACATCTAATTGACAGGATTTAAATCTAACTGATAGTGTTAACATCTAATTGACAGTGTTTACATCTAATTGACAGTGTTACCATCTAATTGACAGTCTGTACCTCGAACTGACA